ACCCAATTTTCCCTGACGATGTTGGCCACCTCTTCGGTCATAGGGACACGATCGGCTTCGGTGATGCGCTTTCCTCCTCCAGGGACCTCCTTATTAGGATCATGGACGTTGCCAGCGTCATCTCCATGAGACCAATTCCACGGGGTCTCACCGTGATGAGGGCTCCTGGAGGGGCGGTCCATCGGACACCTGCGCATGTGACCTTTGAAGGGCTCGCACTGACATACTTGTTTCCTGTATGTCTTGCGATCGTTGATGATCTCCTGTTTCTTAGCCCTTTTGTCCCAAGCCTCTGGCGTCTTGGTCTTGCCACCCTTGGTGCGTATTATCGCGCCAGTTTCGTCCCTTTTTGTGCAGTACTCCTTAGAATACCAGTGGCGAAGCGTGTCCATCGAGTAGCCGGGGTACCATTTGATGTACCAATCCGGCACATGCTGAGCGGATACTCCGACGGAGTGCTCAGTACTGTATGGATAGCCCGATTCATCATGTGTAGGGCGTCTGGGAGCTGAACGGCTCCTTCTGCGGGCTGGCCCCGCTGACGCACTACCGCGTGCCATTGGCCTTTGATCGTCATGCTCTGAGTCTCGGGGAGGCGACGGTCGTCTGTCCCTCTTGGCGTAGCGCATGTCCTCCGAGTCCTCTGAGCTGTCCTGGACCATGAACACGTTTTGATACGGGCTTCTGAAGTACCCGATGTCGTTTAACTGCTCCATCGTGAGGTCGTTAATGTCCATTTGATCACAACCTTGCATGAATACATCCATAGACCAAGCGGGTGGCCCCGCTGTTGCGTCTGGCGTCTCTTCGGCGGGTGTCCCCGCTAGAGCTTGGAGTGCTGTCAGCATCTGAGATGCTGACATGTCCGAGTCCAAGTATGGACGTAGACGTGCAACTCCTGGGTGTGACAGCAGTTCGTTCATGGTTATCTGCTGATGTGCTGGCGCACTCAGGAGTCGGATTGCTTCTGAGACCTGCTCTTGGAGCATGTCCTTATAATCTTCTTCGGCTTCTTCGGAGTCGGAATACGCGGGATGGCCCCGCATTTCGTCATCGGCGTCTCCCGCCTCCGAACCAGCCCACGAAGGATTTGGCAGCAACGGCATGCCAATCACTTGCGGGGCCAGCACGGCGGTGAGTTCTTCCTCTGTTGCCGGGACGGTCTCGGCTTCGGAGACCTCGTCGCCGGCGGGTGGCCCCGCTGGAAGACCGAACCAATCATTGTACGCGACCTCGTCGACCTCGCCCCAGCCGTGGAACTCGTCGAAGAGGGTCACTGCGTAGTCTTCCAGGGCTACAGTTGCTTCAGCGTAGCGGGCCATCACGTAATACGTGGAGGAGCCCGCGGCGGGAGCCGCTTCTGGATTGACGTAAAACTCGTAGTCAATGTAATCTATGTCATCCATAAAAGAATTTTGAGCCAAATGTACGGATCCCTTTCCTTTCCCCTTCGGGCATTGATCGCGCAAATGCTCTGTGCTACCGCATGTATGACACTTCATAGTATTGCCAGAAGCGTCCCTAGGGTTGCCCCTCCGCCCTTTTCCCTTACCGGAGGTCCGCCTGTGACCCCGACCTTTGCCTCCGATAAGAACTTCTTCAAAAGCCATATCAGTTAAGGACGTGAGGAAAGCAGTAATACCCCTACCATGCATACGGCGTCTGCGACCCCCTTTGCCACGACCCTTTCCAAATCGTTTGAAATGTCGGCGTACTGCACGTCTCACCTTTCTGACTGGTTTCTTCATAAAGCGCCTCCAACGGCGTTTTGATTTGCGATAAGCCATAAAGGCGGCTTCCGCTCTTTGTTGTTCAGAGAGGTGAGTGTCATCCGCTGGGTAGTCATTACCAGCAGAGACTATGCCATTGTGCTCATCGTCAGATGAGGTATCCGTGTCAGTGCCAGATTCAAACGGCGAGGGTGGCTGAGACCCTTGAGCGGATGACTCCGCTTGGCCCCAGAGGGTTGTGCCCGAGGGCGGGCTTGCAGTGTAGGCGGCGCCTGGCGAGTAGTTCGACCAGGCGTTCGCCTCAGCTGCCTCTGCCGATGCCTGGCCAGTCTGCCCTAAAAGGGCAGTGGCCTCGTTGGGCATATCGGCTGGGTCAGCCCAGGGATTTGGCTCGCCAGGACCAGCGGGTGACCCCGCAGTCGTGGCGTAGACACCTGCATGTGAGTGGTGCCCTGTGAAGATACCCGCTATGTTGCCAGGAGAGCGCTCGGCAACATGTCCGTAGTTCCTCATCCTGGTCAGCAGCCTGTCATAGTCTGCTTGTGTTCGGGGCATCTGATGATTGAAGGGCTCAAGCAGGTGTTGGGCTCGTGACGCGCCAACGCCTAACGCTCTGAAGAGAATCAGCGTTAGGATCTGAAAGTTGGGGATGACAAAGCCAACAGAGTTAGCCTCGTCACGGGCCATCTCGAATCGAGCTAATACTGAGTCGATTCGCTCGCCCCTTTCGACGCGGAAGTCGATAAGGGCAGTGCCAGAGTTGAGCTGGCGCTCATCTTCCAGATTTTCAAATTTGGTGCTCAGTAAGTACAGTATATATGTTACTGCATCCGTTGGCTGTCCATTGACAGTTACACCATAATTGATGATCTGGGAGGGGACCTGCATGGCGATACGACGAGCCAGACCTTGAAGGCCTCGTTGTAGTGCTGCAGCTTGTTGTGGTGGTGTCATATTGCCACTCGTTACGTTTAACCATGCATGTACTTCGCGAACGTATTCGCGAAAAGGCGTAGTACCGGCAGGGTCCCATGAAGGGCCAGTAGTACGCGTGTCGTCCATCCCCTGCCGCATGTATCCCACAGCACATCCCATTATTACCCACAGAATGCCGAATATAGTTATCTTGATCCAATGCATGTGCATTTCGGCTTCGGTGATTGGTTTAGGCTGTGGTTTGTCAGGCTCTGGCGTAGTAGCCGTGAGGCGCCTGACTGGCACGGGATGCAGGTGGCCCCGCTGCGGGTAGCCCCGCAGGGTGACCACGTTCTCGATCGAGCTGCCGATTGGCATCTGGTGGAAGTCGGGAGTGAAGTAGCGCAGTGAAGTAGGAGAGAGCGTCTCGAGTTCGCGGGTTGTCCCGCTAGCTCGATCGCGGACTGGCTCCGCTCCTCGCAGAGCCGGCGCAACATGGTATTCCACCGTAGTAGTAGTCCACCAAGTTGTGCCGTGGATTACAGGAATCAGAGCGAGAGCCAGCCACACGAGAGTGTAGCCAGCTCCGCTACCAAGTCGAAAACAAGCTGGTAAGCTTAGGTATGTGGTCCGCCTTAGGCGCTCCCATATCCCAGGCTTTGGCTCATATCGCATGAGCAAGAGAGCGAGACGAAGCATGGGATCTGGAGTAAAGGATAGGATGGGCATCGTCAATGGAAAAGGTATTTTCCGATCTCTGATGCAAGTCGTGCGCCTCGGTGAGGCACAGTCATATATTTGGCCGGGCCCGGCTTGAGCCAGGCACGGCAGCGGTACATGCTCGATTTATACCTCGCCTTTAACCTTCTCCGTTTAAAGTCAAAGATCGCCCGAAGACGCCCAACAGGGCCCCAAGACAGCCCAAGAGGCCTCCAAGACGCCCCAAGGGCCTTCCAAGAGGCCTCCGAAGAGGGCCCCAAGAGGCCAAAATCGTTGATTTTCATTGTTTTTTTCGATGTTTTTTGCGTTCTGGCTTTTTCGGCTTCCGGACGCTCCAAGACGGCCCAAGAGGCCCCCAAGACCGCTCCAAGACGGCCCACGAGGCTCCCAAGACGGCCCCGGAACGGCCCAGGAGGGCCCCCAAGACGGCCCAAGTGCCGCCCAAGACGGACCAAGAGGCCCCAAGACGGGCCCAAGAGGGGCTCAAGAGGGGAACCGAGAACTGAAAAATCTAGCCCTCCGCCCCAGAAGGCGCCCAAGAGGCCCCAAAAAGGCCCCAAGAGGCCCCCAAGAGGCCCCCAAGACGCCCCAAGAGGCGCCCAAGAGGTCCAAAAGAGGCCCCAAGAGGCCCCAAAACAGCCCCCAAGAGGCCCCCAAACTCGGCTAGCCCACAACGGTGCGACAATATGGGCCGGCGGAATGAGCGAAGCGATTCAATAACTCTTTCCGTCAAAACGTCGGCACTGGTCTTCTGGCACCGCGTAAACAGTTCAACCTGTACCGGAGGAGGAGGAGAAGGAGGAGGAGGAGGAGAAGAACCCCTCAGGGCAAAACACCCTTTAGCGAACCTGACACAGGAGCACACCCTGCGGGCGCCGGCCCGCAAACAACTGCGGCCGCCACGCCCCCTCGGGAGTCGAATCGTGGGAAGCCGCTCATCGACTCGGCAGGGTGGGGCGCCCGTCAACCTCCGCCATACAACGCCCGAGTTGGGCACTTGCATGGGCACGTTAAGACTGGGGGCCCCAAAGCCGTGTGGTGACAGACCGTGCGGTGACCTCGAGATCCCCAAGGACCTCACCGAGCGGTCCGTCTCCGCACGGTCTTGGGACCTCGGAGGCCCCAATCGCCCGTGACATCCTCGGAAAACGACCCGAGTCCCACATCCGTGCGGGCAACCAGGATCCCCACTGACTCACCACACGTTGTGGTCACTGCGCTGAGTGTGTAAGAGGCAAAAGAGCCTACCTCGCTTCTTGACCACCCTTGCTTCCAAACGGGAACCAGACCATACCAAGCTAACCGTGGGGTGGCCCGTCAGGCTGCTCGACGAGAAGGCGCGTAGTGCAAGTTGGTTATCCCCGCAACCCCACTGACTCACCACACCAGCCCTCCTCGGAATCTCTCTCGCTGTCGGGCCATAACTCGGGTCTCCAGCGGCCGTTTGAGACGACCTCGGCACCTCTGGAACGCTTTCGGCGAGGCGCAGCTGCTGGGACGCACCCCGGGTAGGAAACCCACCAGGAAGACACCGAAAGCTACCGAACACCCCGAATCCGCACTGACTCGCCACACGGTGTGGTGACCGCGACGTCTGGGGGCGTCGCACGGCTGGGCGGAGGCCGCTCGCGGTGCCTCTTCATGTGCGCGGCCGCGCACTCGAGCGCGTCGCACACCTGGGAGGCGCGCCGTCCGGATCACGGCGCGAGGGCCGAGGGGCGGATTCTGCACAAGCGCTGACGGCGAGCCCAGGGGCGAAGGCACAGGGGCAGGGCCTTCTCAGAAGGCTCTGGAGGCCTCTGCCCTTCAGAGAAGTTCTCTGCCTCATGCGAATGTACAGACGGCTTCTCAAGATGACCGGAAGGCTTCTGAGAAGCCCCGCCGCCCGCTTAGAAGGCCTGCCCCCCTCTTACTTTCCCCTGTGTGCGCCGCCGAGCTGAAAGGGAAAGAGAGAGAGAGAGAGACTCTTTATTACATATAGATAAACATACATACACAAACTGATGTGTATCGATAGCGATCTCTATATATGAGAGAGGGTGATCCACCGCCGCTTTACTGTGGAAAATTGCCGCACTTTTCCTCCGGAAACCGAGGGTCCCCCCCCCCCTCCGAAAATCCCCTCCCCTGCTGTGGAACCCCTCCCCCCCCCCTCCCCCCTGCCTCCCCCGGCAAAACCCCCCCCCTCCCTAACCCCCCCCCCCCCTCCTCCTCGAAAACGGGGGGGGTCACTACCGGTTCGAACGCCCCCCCCCCTCGAAAACCGGAGGGGGGTCACTACCGGTTCGAACCCCTCCCCACCCCCCCCACTCACCGCCAGCAAACGACTCCCGGTCGCTACCACCGTCCGCACCACATCCCCCACTGTTGTTCCCAGCACCACTGGCCTCACCACCACTGTCTCCACTGGCTCCACCACCGTCCCTACTCTCCCCACCAGTGCCCCCCACCACTGTCGCACTGTCCCCATCGTCCCCACCACTGTTCCCACCAGGCTTCCACTCTCCCCACTTTCTCCACGGCCCCAACCACTGCCCGAATATCCCCACTGTCCCCACTGTCCCATTGACTCCTCCGCTGTCCCACTAAGCTGTCCCACTGTTCCCACCACTGTCCCCACTGTCCGCACCACTGTCCCCACTGTACCTCTGTCCCATTGTCCCACCGCCGTCCTCGCCACCGCCTTCACCACTGTCCCCACCACTGTACCCTCCACTGTCCCACTGTTTCCACCTCATTCCCACTGTCCCCCTCACCACTGTCCCCACCACCACCGTCCCCACCACTGTCCACTGTCCCTACTGTTCCCACCATTGTCCTCACCACTGTCCCCACCAGTACCGTTCCCACCACTGTCCCAGTGTCCCCACCACTGTCCCGCTGTCCCCTCACCACTGTCCCCATCACCACCGTCCCCACCACTGTCCGCACCCCCCCCTCGGTTTTCGAGGAGGGGGGGAGGGGGGAGGGTTCGAACCGGTAGTGACCCCCCCCCCGTTTTCGAGGGGGAGGGGGGGGGGGTTCGAACCCGTAGTGACCCCCCCTCTTTCATGATGAACTGGGGTGGGGGGGAGGGTTCGAACCCGTAAGTGACCCCCCGGTTTTCGGCGGGGGGGGGGGGGGGTCGAACCGGTAGTGACCCCACCCGGTTTTCCGCCAGCAGCGGTAGAACACGCTCTTTCCTATTTTTGTATATATATATATATACAAAACGAGAGAGAGGTATAACAAAATGAATCAAGCAAACAACAAACAGTCAGGAGGCAAATCCTGGGGTCTCTTCGTGCGAGCGACTACAGTCAATTAGGCCCTATGACAGGATGAAGCCAATTTAAACCGAATTAGGGCGGACGGGACTATGCCAGGCAAAGGCAGTTTTCGACAACGGGTATACCAGCGTCGATGTTGCATGTATCCTTCCGGGAGTAGCATCCGAAGAGAGAGGGGGAACAACCAGGCAGCAAGCCGGCCCTCTATGGCGCGTCCTCGCCACAGCCATCGACAACATCATCATCATCATCAAACTGCTTATAATCATCACCAACACCACAACCGTGATCATCACCGACATGATCATCATCACCACCTCCGTCATCATCGTCATTATCATCACCAACACCACCATCATATCCGCCATCATCATCATCATCATCATGATCAGCATCATCATCATCGTCGTCGTCATCATCATCATCATCAAAATCATCATTTGCATTACCATCATCACCCACCATCACCACCATCTTTATCATCGTCGTCGTCACCATCATTATCGTCGTCACCATCATCAATGTCATCATCCTCATCGTCGCCGTCATCATCATCATCACCATCATCATCAACATGATCATTAGCATCAGCAGTAGCAGGAGCAGCAACATCATCATCATCAACATCATCCCAAGTATCATACTCGCCGTCATCATCATCAACATCATCACCATCACCAGCAGCATCAGCAGCATCAGCATCAGCATCACTTCCATCATCAGCATCATCGCCATCATCAGCAGCATCATCACCACCATCAGCAGCAGCAACACCGTCTTTGTCCTCGTACTCGCCATCGTCTTCCTCCTCCGCCACGGCCGGCGGCCCGCTGGCGCTGTCGCCCGCCGCCATGGCCGCGGAGGCCGAAAGAGCGAAGGGCAGCGGGCGCGGGCAGGCCGAGAAGGCGCACAGTCGGGAGGCCCGGGGGGGGAGGTCATCCCTTGCCATGTAAGTCCATCTATGCTTATTTAGTGCATCTGTTTATTTCCCCATATCCTAAGGATTGGGGTTCTTGTTATTACTCTGACGCCTCCCACTCCTCCTCCTCCTTCTTCCTCCCGCCTCCCGCCTCCCTCCTCCCAATGATAATCACCAGATAAGACAAGACAAGATAAGATACTACAAGATAAGATAAGATAGCACAATATATGATAAGGTAAGATAAGATATACGACAAGGTAGGATAATAGATAAGATAAGACAGCCTATGGAATAATAAGATGAGACAATATATGATGTGATAAGATGAGTTGATATAAGATAAGCTAAGACAAGATAAGAGATTTCAAGATAAGATAAGATAGAGGGTAATAACGGTAAGATAAGATAGGACTCGATAAGATAAGATGAGACTCACTCTCACTCAGACTCACTCACAGTCACATTCACTCACACTCACACTCTCTCATGATCACAAAACGCTGCCAGGGGCATCACTTGGGAGCCCCAAGGGGGAGCCACCCTGGCTGATCTCACGAGCCCGTTCGCGCCGATTTTGGTGGGACGCCTCAGCTAGAATTGCCGTTGGCGTCCCCAACATGTATCTCTTGAGAGCCTCATGGTCACAAAAAGCTGCCAGGGGCATCATTTGGGAGCCAAGGGGGAGCCACCCTGGCTGATCTCACGAGCCCGTTCGCGCCGATTTTGGTGGGACGCCTCAGCTAGAATTGCCGTTTGGCGTCCCCAACATGTATCTCTTGAGAGCCTCATGGTCACAAAACGCTGCCAGGGGCATCATTTGGGAGCCCCAAGGGGGAGCCACCCTGGCTGATCTCACGAGCCCGTTCGCGCCGATTTTGGTGGGACGTCTCAGCTAGAATTGCCGTTTGGCGCCCCCAACATGTATCTCTTGAGAGCCTCATGGTCACAAAACGCTGCCAGGGGCATCATTTGGGAGCCCCAAGGGGGAGCCACCCTGGCTGATCTCACGAGCCCGTTCGCGCCGATTTTGGTGGGACGTCTCAGCTAGAATTGCCGTTTGGCGCCCCCAACATGTATCTCTTGAGAGCCTCATGGTCGCAAAACGCTGCCAGGGGCATCATTTGGGAGCCCCAAGGGGGAGCCACCCTGGCTGATCTCACGAGCCCGTTCGCGCCGATTTTGGTGGGACGTCTCAGCTAGAATTGCCGTTTGGCGCCCCCAACATGTATCTCTTGAGAGCTTCATGGTCAGAGTCTAACCATTTCACTCATACACAAGCTCACTCACACTCAGATTCATTTTCTCAGAGTCAGGCACACACAGACGTACCCATACTCAGACTCACCCACACTCAGGCTCACCTAACCCAGACCCCGTCAGAAGCCAGTAGCGAAGAGAGCAGAGAGGAGAGAGAGAGAGAGAGAGAGAGAGAGAGAGAGAGAGAGAGAGAGAGAGAGAGAGAGAGAGAGAGAGAGAGAGAGAGAGAGAGAGAGAGAGAGAGAGAGAGAGAGAGAGAGAGAGAGAGAGAGAGAGAGAGAGAGAGCGAGAGAGAGAGAAGAGAGAGAGAGAGAGAGAGAGAGAGAGAGAGAGAGAGAGAGAGAGAGAGAGAGAGCGCGCGAGCGCGAGCGCGAGCGAGAGAGAGTTACTGTTTCCGATACCCACTATGTATGAGGTTTCGCGAGCCCACTGCAGAGCACTCCAAAAGAGTGGCGGCCAGCCTGGATGCTGCGAGCGCCGCTTGGGCACCCAGGCTACTCCGAACAGGCTCGGGCATGAACGACGACGGCACGGACAGTTGGGGGGAGGAAGATGAGGACTCGGGGAGCTCTGAACTCTTAAGGGTGGGTTGAAAGAGAGAGAGAGAGAGAGAGAGAGAGAGAGAGAGAGAGAGAGAGAGAGAGAGTCCCATCCTAAGGATCTCTTCCAAAGGCGCGCCCGACAGGGTGGCTGGCTAGGTACGGGGAGGTGTGGTGAGGTGAGGTCAGGGAGGTCGAGGGTCAAAGTAGAGCACAGCCTTCGTAGCGGAGCGGAACAGACACCGCTATGTCGGCTTGTCCAAGCCGTGCCTGGCCCGTCTGTGGTGTCAACGTTGAGGTACAGCTCACCCGTCTACTGGCACAAGACGGGGGTCAAGGGGCCGAATGGTGCCTCCCTGCCCAACACTAGGGGTGCAGCCCAGGGCGTGTGACAAAGATGATCCCACGAAGCCTCGACCACAAGACAGGCACGGTGGCTCATGGGCGGGGGAGGGGGAAGGAGGAGGACGAGGGAGGAAGGTCACATTTGGTAGTAAGGAAGGGGGAAGGGGGTGAGGAGAAATCCGTAGGCTGCAAAATCAGCCCTCCTCTGAAGCCAGCTAGATTTCCAAATATGGATAGTCAGCATCAGGAAGGAGGACGTCACGCTCGCGGGGCCTACGGGGCCTCTGGAGGTACCTCTGGGGGTCCACGCCTGTGGTGCGAGAAAAAACGGATGAGATTGCGAC